CTATGGAATGCATCTTAAAACAGTGTTTAGCTGATCTGTATGTGGAAGATCAGGAGTGGAATCTCCAGGCAACCCGAAATCTCGAGCTATACTTAGTTCACTGAAAAGAATTCAAAATTTATCACTTATTAAGTTTATTAGTTTTTCACATATATACATAGATATACATGATGGGTTGCTTTGTCCTGTGCTACCAGATTTTGAGATATGACCAACTAAAGATGAATCAAACTAAACCCCCCAAATTTCCATTATGTGGGAATCCAAACACTTCATTTCTGCCTCAAAAAGGTAGTCTGAAACAGCTTTTCAATACTCATGTTCTTCAATAATTTGAGTTTCCAGTTCATGAGTTAAGCCAAAACTATGTCTGTGGTTTAAATACGACAACATACAATCTGTGAATTTAACTGTTTTCATGTTTATCAAACATATTCAAATTACACCAATCGCTAACATCCAGAGCAAATTGAGAATGAAATTATTTAACACTGAATAGTTTGCAATCAAAACAATATACAGAACTGACTAATGGAGACAATGATAGTCATTCCTTCCTATAATTTTCACTTTTTTTTTTTTCTTAAGGAAACAAACTTTATTATCATCAGAACGTTCTAGTACAAATATTATTATATTTGTTGTTGCTGTTATGTGCTGTCGAATCGGTTCCGACTCATAGTGGGTTTGAACTTCTGACTTTCATTTTCTGGGACTCTGGGCCAGGTGGTACAAAGCGTGTCACATGCGTCAGCTCACTGAGGCTGCTTCTGAAGAAACACTTCCAGCAACCCCCGCTCTCCAGCTCTCCTTACAGGGGAGCTGCCCCTTCTCCCACACCTCCAGAGCAGGGTAAGGCCTCCTCCATCCTCCCACAGCACCCCAAACACCCCTTAACTGAGTCTTATCCCTGTATTAGAACTTCTAGTCTGCCCATCCAATTACATCCACAAGGCAGAGTCCTGTCCCGGGCTCTACCGCAGCTCTAGCTGCATACAACAGGAAGAGGGAAATGATGGGGTCATACAACTGAGAGCCTTGATTGAATGCCCCCACTCTACTGCCAGGAGACAACCTGGTCTAGGCTCTCAGCCAACTTTCAGGAAGGGCCCCATATCCGTCTGCCTTCCATGCGGTGGACATGGGCAGCAGTGGGCAAGCACTACAATGGCCCTTTGAGCCAATGACCGCCCATAGGGGAGGTGGGTGGTGCTCATACAGAGACAGACGTCGCAACACAGCTGTGCCCCTGCATCAGGCACGAGCAGAGACCTTCTGGACGATGCCCACCGCTCCGGGTGGGCTCCAGTACTCCAGCCAGCTGATACCCTGTTCCCTGTCGTGAAGAAATCTGGTCACATTTCCTTGGGCGGGACCAGCAACCAGTGCGAATCCCTCAATGTCGAAAGTAAAGTTGCACCCTAGAAATATATTTTGGCATTACTACGCAAAATATTTGAACATGAATTTTCAAGTTGCCCACTGCGATAACAATCAGTTGGCCCTCTTTAGACTCCATAATTTACATCAATAGAAAGAAAGATAAATTCCACAAAACAGGAACTGTATTTCTGTTATTTATGGGTGTTGGGCATGTGATCATTTCAGATTTCAAAATTGTTTCATTTTCTACACCATTATTTATTTGATTTTACTTCAGCAAGGAATGAATGCAGACTCTGAAATAATTTCTGTTATATTTATGGCTGTTAGTAATTTCATCACTAGAGTTACTAGTACAATGATTTGCACCCATTAAACTGGAGTATTCAATGAAAGAAGTCTCCTCAGATTCATTACATTTTTAAAAGGAAGTTAACTATTGGAGTCCTGATGTGGCGCTGTAGGTAGGATAAGCACTGGACTGCTAACTGCAAGGTTGGTGGTGGTTCAAGCCCACCTGTCATTCATCAGAAACCCTATTTAGGGTAGCTATGATTCAGAACTGACCCCACAGTAGTTAACAACAACAATTTTGTGCCGTCGAGTTGGTTGTGACCCAAAGAGAACTAGTAAGTTAAAAAAAAAAAAATTATTTGGAATATGTAATTTTGTTCTTCAGGTCGGAGGTCGTCCAAAGAAATAGTACTTACAGGGCAGTCAGACATTATTGTTTACAAAACTTTGGACATAGCTCTGTACGTAAATGCTATACAGTTTAAGTTGTTTGAATTCGTTGCAATGGTCAACTTATTCCAGTTCTTTTGCTTTTACGTCATTTGGGATTGGAGTTCTCTTTGGTTGTTTACCAGAACCTGTGTAAGAGCATAGCCTTGTGTTTGTATCATGACAAAGAGCCTTCCTAGCCCTTCTGGCTGGAGTTGCTGGATCAGCAGGCATGACTGTACAAGTCAGTTCTTTCAAATGGATCAGGGATCTGGTATCTAGTAATATAATCTGTCCTTGCCCAGTAACAGTTCATGTTGGCTGTACAAGTCAGTTCTTTGTTCCATGTGGGGTCGAGTGCTATCAAAAAGAGCATGATACAAATTTCAAAGAGTGCTCAATGTGAAGATGTGTTTAGGTTTGCTTTGCACAGAACAGAACCAGATAGATCACTATTCAGTTTATTATAGTGCTGTTAGCACGTTCATTGGTAATCGACAAGAAAGAAATGAATGTGAAGTTATACCCTATCTGTTCAAAATGGAAAGGAAAATATAGTTGTTATCACATACAGAATTTATAAAATGTACATAATTTCTTTGTGGATTTGTTCAGTGCCAATATTCAGAGCTACTTACCTAACTGATGGAACAACAGTAGTAGTTCTTGATGAGCAAGTTTGTTTTGCAAGTTGTAACAATACCAGTCAGTTTCTTCAAAGAAAGTCAGTCCGAAGGGAAATGGAAAACAAAATACATTTATATAAGAGTTACAGTCTGGGAAACCCTAGATAAAGTCATTATGAGTTAGTTGGATTTGACTCAATAGCAGTGGGTTTGGTTTTTTGGTTTTGTTAAAAAAAAAATCATGTAATTAATTTTCTCAAGGAATTATGCAGTTTCCTTACATGGAGATTTGTAAATATTCTGATAAAATGTAAATGTAATGTTTGATAAATGCCTTTTGTTTCTTTCTTGCAAAGTGAATGTAAAAACACATGCATTGTTGTAAAACAGAAACGTATTTTGCATGATAAATGAAATCTTATTAAATGTTGCATCCTTTTAATGTGTTTAGTAAAACTTCACTTATAAGCGCCTACAAAGTAACATCAGCACTGTGTTCCACACAACAGGTAACAGAAAATGAAACTCATCTGATACATAAATTAAAATGTTTTGCATTAGATAGACATTAGTATTTCCAGTATGTTTCCTATGTTGACATTATATTATTACCTATGTTAGAATTATATTAGCTGTATGCTAGATTGTGTCTTTGTATAAGTCAAGCATATTTTAAAGTTAGAGTTATAAATATGAGGGGACTTCAGAAAGTTCATGGAAAAACTCCATTATCTTTCAATTCTATTTTCCACAAACTTTTTGGAGCTCCTTCACATTATTGTTTACAAAACTTTGAACATAGCTCTGTATGTAAATGCTGTACAGTTTAAAAGTAACTTGATTGAATTCATTGCAACGGTCAACTTATTCCAGTTCTTTTGCTTTCACGTCATTTGGGATTGGAGTTCTCTTTGGTTGTTTACCAGGACCTGCGTAAGAGCATAGCCTTGTGTTTGTATCATGACAAAGAGCCTGCCTAGCCCTTCTGGCTGGAGTTGCCAGATCAGCAGGCGTGGCTGTACAAGTCAGTTCTTTCACATGGATCAGGGATCTAGTGTCTATTAATATAATTTGTCCTTGTCCAGTAACAGTTCATGTTGGATCCCATTGTATATTGAGTAAATGTAGCAAGAGTTCGACTCAACAGCCATCTCCAGTTTTTTTTAATTAGAAAGAAATAGTATACTCTCAAGAGATCTGCTGAGATAAAGCGTTTCAATTACACAGGAGGAACAGATGTAAAGGAAGGTGCTGAAGTGTTTAGGAGCTTCCTTGCTTCAATAACTCATGACTCTGGGTTAACTTTAGTTCTGAACAACACAGTCTCAGGTACTGGGGTGGTATCAATTTCACTTAGTGCCCTGCCAGTTCCCTTCCACTTCCTATGCTTGCTTTTCCTTGTGTCTTATCTGCTTGGCATCTATGGATCTTTGTTTTGGACAACTTGTGCCCCTGTTTTGTTGTCTTAAGTGTGTGCTTACTTTGCTTATTAAGTAATCTGCTCCTGATAGTCACCCTATATAGGACAAAGTAGAACTGTCTCATAGGGTTTCCAAGTCTGTAATTGTTACGGAAGCAGACTGCCTCATCTTTATACTATTCAGTAACTAATGGGTTTGAACCACTAACCTTCTGATTAACAGCCATGCACTTTAATCACTGCATAATCAGGGCTCCTTCTCATAAAGATTACAGCCCAAGAAACCCTATGGGGCAGTTCTACTCAGTCCTTTAGGGTCTCTATGAGTCAAAATGGACTTGACGGCATATAACAACCTTGTTGTTAGATGACATTGAGTTGGTTCCAACTCATAGAAACCCAGTATAGGGTTTCAGAGAAGTACAACAGGTGGGTTTGAACTGCTGACTTTGTGGTTCGCAGACCATGCTTATCCTACAGTGCCACACCATAAGAACATTATCATTCTTTATATTTATTATTGAAACACAAAGAGGACCAAATGGCAGGTTTGTGAGCTGAGTTCAGCTTATGAGCTGCAATGTGCAGCCTCTGATCTAATTTAATCCCTGAGTTTAGGTGGGAATTTGAGGACAACCGAGGGTAGATGAAGTGCCCAGCTCCTAAGTGGCTGAGTTGCCACTGGGACCTGGGTCCTTCCCTCTCCATTGTTATCCTTTTAATCATAAGAAACGGTTCCCAGGAAGGTGGTAATTTCAGTGTCCTTCACAAAAGAATGGCGGCAGCAGTTAGAAGTAATGGGTGAGACTTACACAGAGCAACAGATAGATTTTTAAAATAAAGTCGTTGGTGAAACAAGTAAACCACACAATGGAATATAGAATCATTTAATGTAATTAAGAATACATGCACACAAAACTATACAGATGTTGCATGGACATGTGTAAACAAAGGGGTACGTTTCCAACATATCAGGAAGGTTTTGCAGATGCAAGGAAGATCTATGAGAATAAGATATGGAGATAAAAACAAACAAACACAACAATTGCAATAGAGCTGATTTCAATTCATGATGACCCGTATGTGTGCCAGAGTAGAACCGTGTACCACAGTGGTTGATTTCTCAGAAGCAGATAGCCAGGTCTTTCTTCTGAAGTGCATATGGGTGGATTTGAACCTCCAGCCATTCCATTAGCAGCCAAGCACATTAACTGTATGCACCTCCTAGGACTTAGTGATATGGTGATAGAATAAATCATAAATAAGATAAGAGAGTGGTTTTGTACAGACCAGAGGTAATGTGCCATGAAGTTGTTGTTGTTGTTAGGTGCCATTGAGTTGGCACCGACTCATAGTGACCTTATGTACAGCCGAACGAAACACTGCCCGATCCTGGGCCAACCTCACTTGAGTCCATCGATGCCGCCACCTGGCCAATCTGTCTCGTTGGGGGTCTTCCTCTTTTTCTCTGACCCTCCACCTTACCAAACATGATATCCTTCTCCAGTGACCGGTCCCTCCTGACAATATATCCAAAGTATGAGAGACGAAGTTTGGCCATCTTGGCCTCCAAGTAGCACACTGGCTGCACTTCTTCCAAAACGGATCTATTGGTTCTTTTGGCAGCCCATGGCACTTTCAATATTCTCCTCCAACACCATAACTCAAAAGCATCTATTTTTCTACAGTCTTCCTTATTCACTGTCCAGCTTTCACATACATATGAGGTTATTGAAAATACCATGGCTTGGGTTAGGCGCACCTTAGTCCTCAAGCTGACATCTTTGCTCTTCAACACTTTAAAAAGTCTTGTGCAGCAGATTTGCTTAATGTAATACATCATTTGATTTCTTGACTGCTGCTTCAGTGAATATTAATAATTGATCCAAGAAGAATGAAGTTCTTGACAACTTCAATCTTTTCTCCATTGATAAGAATGCTGTTTATTGGTCCAGTGGTGAGGATTTTTGTTTTCTTGACATTGAGATGTAATCCATACCAAAGGCTGTGCTCTTTGATCTTCATCAGTAAATGTTTTAAGCCCTCTTCAGTAAGTAGATGTATGCTTAACACAACCCTCTTAATATGGAACCTGTTTCCTTGACTTTACCCCAACGTCACCCCCACCCCATAAAACAGATGGCAGACAGCCTCATACAATCTCCTCCCCGCATCACAATCCTTGCAGTCCATATGACCAGGTTTTGTCTTCCAGGTACAAAGAGAATCTCCCTTCCCGGTGTTTCACAAAGCCCAAGAACAGGCTGCAGGTCTCCACCTCCCTCAACAGCCGGCAGTGGATATTTGTGAGGAAGGGGCTGGACGACTTCAGAAAAGGTTGTCCCCCTTGTGAAGATCTGATCACGAAGGGCCTTCAGGAAAACTTTCTTCCTCGGATTCACCACAGAGCTCCCCAACCTGGCCCCAGACTGAGGCCAAACAAGCTGCCCAAGGAAGCAGTCATGTTTCCTAGGCTCTCAGCAGCCCAGCGGGTACAGAAAACATTTATAGAGGACTTGGAAGCCCGCCTGACCAGGCATCCTTTGGCCCTCTACCCGAATCTGGGAGAAGATTTACCTGTAGAGGTAATGTCCTGCTTTATTGGGGCCTTGAAAAGAATTCTAATGCCTGGGGAATGTATTTATAAGGAGGAGAAGACATGAATGTCTCCCCAAAAGGTAAGGGTTAGCATGGGTGTTGGAACAGCCTTCCTTTCTCTGCCTCCAAGAAACACATGCAGCAGCGACCTATATATAGCCTTCCCCTTTGCTTCCTGTGATGCTATCCCAACTCTAAAGGTATAGCCAACCAGTAATATTTGCCTTCTTTTCTCCTGGAGTTCTACCAGTCTACTCTGTTTAGTAACTTTGCAGAGAAGAAAAATGGGGGAATCATTCAGTCTTTTGACACTTTTAGCTTGGCACTAAGAGATATTCATAAGTATGTGCTAACTGGTAGGTAGAAGGCATGTGAAAAAATGAGATGTCATAGGGAAAACTCTGGTTGGAGGCCTAGGTGGAGCAAAGAGTTAGGTTAACTATGAACCTAAAAGTTGGTGGTTTGAATCCACCCAGAGATATCTTGGAAGACAGACCTGGTGATCTGCTTCTGGGACACCACAGCCATGAACAAAACTATGACACAGTTCTACTCTGACACACATGAGAACACTGGCAGTCCAACTCAATTCAATTCATTTTATTCATTAGGTGAAGGCCATCAAATTGCCAGTCTAGGCAAGATTGGACAGCACCAGTCTCCCAGGCCTTTTCTGGGTGTTTTTTTTTTGTTTTCCCTTTTCTTCATCATCCTTAGTACGACCCTCTATCATGTACATCTCTAAGCATCGAGTCTGTGTTTCAAACAAGAAGATGGGGAGGGACAAAGATTAAAGGATGCATGTCTGATGGCTCTGTTTTGATTAGGTAAATAATCGCTTTCGCAAGAGATTTCTGCTTACATCTCATCCATCTGACTACTAGGGGATCTAGAAAACTGAGTTTCTTCATTGAGCATTGCAGCTTGAACAAAATTCATGTTCCGTTGAATTCAGGAAGAAGGGCCGTGTGGGTATTGGGCAGGCAAATAGCAATACCTAGTATCCCACCTATATAGGGAGCACTGCTATGTACAGAAAGGTAAATCCAATCACACCTCTTCTCTGTTCAAAGCCCTCCAATGGCCCTATCTCTCTCAGCAAAGCCAAAGGTCTAAAAGGCCAAGGGTTCTGCTCTCTCTTCAGACTCACCATCTGCACCTCTGGCCTCACTCACTTGTATCTCGAACACTTACCCCAAGGTATCTGCTTGGCTCATACCTTCACTTCAGATCTTGGCAACTCTTACTGTTCTGAAGAGTTCTGTACAAAATAATGGAGTTGCTGGGTGATGGAGTTAGTTAATGTGCTTGTTAGTAATCAAAAGAATGGCAGTTTGAGTCCACCAAGATGTGTGGAGGAAGAAAGGCCTGGTGATCTACTTCCAAAACCTCATCCGATCAAAATTCTATGGAGCACAATTCTACTTTGATACACATGGGGTCTCCATGAATCAGCATTGACATGACATCAACTTAAAAAAAACAACAACACCTCCCTCCCATCCTCATTTTTGATTCCTTATTAGCATGCTCTACTTTTTCTTTCTTTCTTCCTTCCTTTTTTTTTTTTTTTTCTTTCCCCAATCCAAGCTTTATTATCAGAAAGCCAGCAGTCTGGAGGACGGGAGAATAATTTCTCAAGACCGTCCTGTCCATTATGAAGAGCAGGCACATCATATAGGGTAAGTTACATTTGGATGTACACTTAATCTATCTTAACATCAAGAGAGTATTCTTTGGGAAAAGGAAACAATAAATCAATAAACTTACTCAAATATTTCATCTTTAGGGTCTAAACTGCTTAATTCCTGAAATAACTATCTGGGTGGGTTTAAGCATGTCCTAGTCTCCTTGTCCTATTCTACCTCTAGGACCATAAGGTCATCGAAGCTAATTTATACACTTCCTCATTTGCAGGGTCTTCATTTGAAACCTAATGTCTAAACCGACTCTATTTTATTTAGGTCAGTTGATCCATGCTATCATCCCCCACTCTTATATTTAGATTTCATTTCTATGAAATTTGCTTCAAATGAAAAGAGTTACTGTGATCCTGGGCATTGTTCCTTGGGTCAAAAGAACTAGGCTTAGGATGTGAAAAACAAAATGTTTTCCAAAGGGCGATACAGCAAGGTGAGCATTGAATACAGCAACATATGAAGATTTCTATGATAATACAAACCCGACGCTCACTGTTAACATGGGTAGCCGCTTTAGATTAGGTAACTAAGACAACTGATTTTCATTATCTGCTCTAAAGAAGTTCTTACACTTAGGGCAGTGATTGTAAGGAGGTGGCATTAAGGGTCTTTATCATTGTACAGGCAAGTTTGTTGATTTTTGCAGTTAGGGTCAAAACCTTAGCAAGCATTACAAAAAGGGGTAAGGTCACATACTCATCTGGACAGAACAGATGCAGATGGATATGGAAGTCAAGTGGGGGGAGCACTAGCAATGAGGTATGCTCTACTTTTTCATCATAACACTTGTCACCACCAGCCTCTTTACTAGAATGAGAGCTCTAGACAAACAAGAACTTCATCGGCTTCTTCACCGTGTGCCACCATATGCCAGACATTTTGTCAAGTTGATTCCGACTCATAGCGATCCATGTATTACAGAGTACAACTGTCCCATACTCTTAACAGAATTAGATCACCAAGTGTTTATACCAAGATGCCTCTAGGTAGATTTGAACCACCAAACTTTCAGTTAGTAGCTGATTGCTTAACCATTTATGCTATTCAGGGACCCTTAGAATTAAGGGACACCCCCCTCCCTTTTTGTTTTCAGCCTAGTTTTCTTTCCTCTAAAGCAATGTTGTATTTGTAGCTTTTATTAAAAGTGCTGGAAGTGCTCGATCCAGACAAGAAGCTGGAGGACACATGGGCTTATTGCCAGAACATCAGGAAAAGGAAAAAGGAACCCACTAAAAGTGTAAACAAACCTACAGAAGTCTCCCCAGGACCGTAAGTATTGTCCTAGTAACTTCTGGCTCATTCCTACTATCTCTAAACATTACCTTCCCAAAGCTTCTTATAGTTAAGGTAATCTAAAGAAATCAATGGAATTAAGTTCCTGAGGAGAGAAAAGAGTCCTGGATCCCCCACTGTGCTATTGTTTGTTGTTACATATTACCTCGGAAACCCTATACAGGGTCGCTATGGGTCAGAACCTACTTAACAACACTGAACAACAACAACTATCAAACCACTGAACATGAGCCAGCCAAGTTGGCACATATTTTGGGGGGCTACAATCCAATCCATTACACCTAATATTGTGATAGTTTTTAAATAAGAAATTTACCATCTTAGAATTTTTCCAAAGGATTAAACTTCATTTTCATAGAAACAACCTTTTGTATCAGTCTCTTGTTTTCTTAATTCATAATAAAATTTAATTAATAATATTAAACTGAATATTGTAAGTGTAATAAGTATGCTTGACATAAATAGATTCAGGATAGAACAATTGACCTTTGAAATCCAGTGACGTGACTGGTGTCTGTTGAAGAGTGAGTGATCTTGAGAGTGGTCTGCCCACAGTGCCAACAGCACTAACAGAGGTGTGGCAAGAACATCATTGGTGTGTCTGTGTGGTCATATAGTGCTCCTGGGGGTCATGTGAGTGACCCACGTGGAGGTGATTGATGTAGAATCCACTGTATTCATTCATTATTGTTTGTCAGTGGGGGATGCATCTTCCCCACAACAGACATTTCCTCCCAGGTGAAAGGAACTCCACTGTTGTGATACCTCTAGTCCTTCAGCCCATTCACTCACTGTACTCTCTGGTGAATTTGGGGAGAACAACTGGACATGCTCAGCTCAGCTCTGTCCTTCCACTTGGGAGCAAGTCAGCCCATTCTCTTCTGCTCCTTGATTCTCAAAAGGACTAAGGGGGGAAAGTCTGCCCATTTCTGAGTTTTGGTCTATAAGCACGATCCTTTATATTTATCTAAAAAAATTCATGTTGAAATTTATACTTAGATATTGAAAAAAAAATCATAGAAAAAATAGACATTTCTCAGAGGTTATCTCTGGAAAGTGTTAATAGTGGTAGGGATTTACCAGTCTTCTCAGTTATACATTAGTTGTTGTTGTTGTAAAGTGCCATCGAGTCAGTTCTGACCCATACCGACCCTGTATAGTGTTTCCGAGGAGCAGCTGATGAGCTTGAATCACCAACCTTGCAGTTCAAACGGCTTTGTAGTCTGACGCATTAACCCACAGCACCACACCAGGTCTCCAATACATTAGTAGCAGTATTCTAATTCATACAAGGTTTTATAAAGCAATTGAGCAGTGCATAAGTAACAGCCATAAAATATTCGTGTCATTTAAAGTTTGTTTTGTTATTGTTGTTGTTAAGTGCTATTGAGTCGGTTCCGACCCATAGGGACCCTGGATAGGGTTTCCGAGGAGCAGCTCAAACGGATTTGCAGTCGGGCACATTAACCCACAGCACCACACCAGGACTTTAGACTTTGTCTAAACAAATATTTAATATATAAGGTAAAACAATATGCATGAAATAACCATCATATTATTGGAAAAAATAAAATTTCCTGATTTTTTAACATTTAGAAAAAAAAGTCATCTAATGACTACAGAACCTAAGATGTTACTATGTTGTTGTTGTTAGGTGCCATCAAATCGGTACCGACTCATAGTGACCTTATGCAGAATGAAGCAGTGCCTGATCCTGCGCCAACCTCACTACTGTTGCCACGCTTGAGTCCATCAATGCTGCCACATGGCCAATCCATCTCGTTGGGGGTCTTCCTCTTTTTCTCTG